TCCTTATCTCCCCTTCTTCTTTTTTATGTTCGTTACTCTCTTGTAACACCTCTAATCTTCTGGCGCTCACATGACCTTATGCAGTTGCGAGTGCCATAAAACCTCTACTAAAAATACACTAAACAGCATTTGTGTGCCACCATGGTGAAATCAGGTGCTCGTGGAAAAGATGAAATCGCAGAAATCGACAGTTTTCCACCCTTTGGCCAATTTTTATCGATTTTTGTTAGGGGCAGTTTTTGTTCCTTTGTGGTTGGGTTTTTCTTTTTGTTGTTGGTGGGTTTTTTTAAATGTTGTTGTTGTTGTTGTTGTTGTTGTTGTTGTTGTTGTTGTTGTTGTTGTTTGCTCAACTCCAGTTTTGAAGCCATCAAACATTGACGGCCATTTTCTGACCAATTTTACCTCTGACACTTGGCGTACTGGTAGGCCTACCCCACTTCCTTCAATAATAAGTATCTCCAGTTCTTGTCAAGATGAATAAGTAGTGGGTGGTTGGCGGGTGCTCTGGTGTGGTTTGCTCCTTCTTTCCTATCAAACATGTATCGTCCTTATTTCCCCTCCTTCTTTTTGTGTTTGTTACTCTCTTGTAGTACCTCTAATCTTCTGGCGCTCATATGACCTTATGCCGTTGCGAGCGCCGTAAAACCTCTACTTTAAAAAAAAAAAAGATGAATGAGTAGGCCTATTTTTTCATCAAAAGCAAGACAAATGAACGAGCTCTAGGATGATACTAATAACTCCACGTCCAAAAAATGACAACTGCCTGATTCCACCGAGTCGTGATACTTGTCCGTGGTTTCTTGGTTACTTTGGCTTCACTTATTCACGATGTTGGTTCTTTTTCACTACCAACTTCGGGTAAAACACCGTATAATGTACCGGGTATGCACTTCACTAATTCAGTGTGCTTTGTTTCAGTTCTGACAACAGAAGACCAACACCGTGTGGTTTATGGCTGTGAAAATACGAACTTCAAATTTTCATGGGATTACGCCCAGAACTGCACGGTAAGACACGTTAGATTCACGTCATGACACTACCAGAAACTACAGTACAGCCACAGTATACGTAGGCGCTTCCCTGTCTTTCTCTACTAAGGTATCGAATAAAAAAAGGGAGGGAATACAAATAAAAAGAGG